CAGGTTGAGGGTACACCACCTCTGTCTTCTCTTAGATTTGGTGTTATATATCTTTGAGCAGTGTACTAGCATATAAACTTGATGAATAATAATGTATGTGTCAAGTAAGCTGCCTTCTCATTCACTTTGTCCCAAAGGGGTTCTGTTTGAATAAAGTCAACAGCTGTGGTCGAAACTGCCAGCCAACCAACAGGCTATGCAATGAATGGGAATGCTAACTTTATCCAAATACATTATTTACAATGTCTGGCACATTGGCATATCTCCATTAGACCCTGCTGTTAAAGGAGGTAACTGCACCACACACAGTTGACTATCCTTCTCCATAAAACAATATTAATATTAATTCTTTTACAAAATTATGTTTAGCACTGCACAATTATGTTTCACTTTTTTCCATTTGTTGAACACAGACGAATATTAACTTCACTCCAAAAAAAAAAATGGTTTTGCTGCGTGTTCAAACTACTTATTTAAAATAAACTGAACCAACACAATTCTTGAGTTTTTTAGGACAACTTAATTGCTTTATGTTCAATTAGGCATGGACCGATATAAGATTCTGACGGTATTATAACCTTGGATAAAAATATCACGGTTTTGCGGTTTCACAGTATTGAGGTTACTGCTGTAAAATAAGTTATTTTAAAATGTCTGGGTAAAATAAACATAAAAACTTCCCCTTTGAACACAATATATTTTATTTTAAGAATCATTTAAAATATTTAGGCTTTTTTGTTTTAAACATGTCAGGTTACAAAGTTTAAATAAATCCCTGACTAGCTTCATTATTTTCAAAAACGGATTTCATAGCAACTTGAAAAAGGATCTTTGGATATTTTTCTTTTTTGTGGATAAACTAAAGCCACTGCACTGTTCAGGTCTATAGCATGCCTGTATGTTGGTGTATAAGTTACTTGTTTTTAAAACAATTATTCAATTGTGGGCTGACCAATAGCTTTTGATTTGGAGGGTCCTTTTGCTGTAGATACTGTTGCCCCAAAAAACTTAACAGAACGTTAAATTAGCAACAATTAATTTAACCTAATTTGTGTTTGGACAACATGAAGAGATTGTCTGAAACCCAGAATTTTATGATAGCATTCCATACTATTTTTCCCCTAGATGTCAATGGTGACTGGTTTTCTGCTTTCTCCAGAATATTGTCTTTTGTGTTCAACAGAATTAAGGTTAGGAACCATTTGTGGAATGGTAAATTTCTACTTTTGTGTGATTTATCCCTGAACAAGCGTGAAACTGGAGCATTTAATAATACGTTTGATCTATTATTTTTTCATTATTGATATTATCATTCAGTTGTACTTATACATTGTGCCTCTATTACTTTAAATAAACATAGATCAAACAGAAAGATAATAGACTGTATTGTGAAACTTTTTATCAAGAGTGCAATTATTTTACAAGTTGGATATTTAAATCACTCTTTGTGGTTACAGAAATCTTTTTCACTTTGTAGACAAAAACATTGAAAGCATGAAGGTCCAATTCATTAAAAAAATCCTTCTAACTGTACAATAGTGACATGCATGTTTTTCAATAGTAAAAACATGCCAGCTATGGCTGCTGCCATCTTATGATCGATTATGCCGATTGCTTAATTTGGAGTCTGCGCAGTTTGCGAACACGCAAACTTTACACCACAAAAAGAAAAGCACAAATATTACAAAAACAACACTTAAAGATCTGGATGTAATTTGGGAGGCTCCATTTAATTTTGGCAAGCCAATTCATTTTGACCTATACTGCAGCCAGTCACCAGAGGGCGATCAAAATTTTCCGGCTTCACTTTTCAGAATGTGTGTTGCCCAATCTGTCTAACATTAAATGAATCACACCTAAAACATAGTATATGTATATCAATTCATGCATTAACCAAAAACTTACAAAAAAATTGGGTGAGTTTCCTAAATTACACAACGGGCAATTTGAGTGTTTTTTTTGTTTTTTGTTTTTTTTTGAGAGAGAGAGGGGGGATATCAAAAAGTGCTAAAAAAGAGGTTATTTTATATCATCAGTTAAATAGCATTAAGCTTTAGCCATCATAAGACTTTAAATACCACCAAGTGCCCAATTGCTATGATGAATGGGAATGGTTCACTTTTTATAAGCCTTTGCCTTAAAAGAGATCACATATCAACAACTCGTGTTGCATTATAAGCTATGTCCTACAGAAGCTATATCGATCTGGAATTTACAGACAGGGTGCTGCTATGGTTATGTGTTCACTTTCTTCCTCCTCGTTCATCTGAACAAGTTCAGATGTTAGACGTGTTCTGTAATAAATAAAGCGGAGCTCTCTAATAATGAGCTTTGTCGGCCACCCGCGCTTTATACTGCGCAGTGAAATTAATGAAATTCACATTGCACTGCGGTTTCGATATGCACCATACACAGTTTAAAATGTATTGGACAAAAAAGCCTACTTTTTTAAAGTAAGGTAGATTATAGCCAAATGTCAAACACAGATCATTTAATGAGCGTGTTAAAGAGAATAGTTAAAACTAGACTGAATAAAGTCTAGATTTCATCGTTTGAAGAAAGCAGGCTACAGAAAAAGTTTTATGAAATGCCAATTGTTTGATCATTCTTTTCTATTAAGAGCGCCATTCATAAAGTTTATATATAATCCAAATATAAAGTCAGCACGGAATGGCTGCAAATGCCAAAGCGGGTTTTTATAAAGATTTTAATGATTTTAATTTAAATTTTTAAATAAAGCAAAATCTTATTTCCAAAGTAGCGATTTTAAACAGATTAAGCACTTGTAAATCAAACCGTAGTCTAAGGAAACGAATAATGATTAAATAAGTGTAATTATATGCACCAAGTACTAAAAATATACATATTTCCTGCTTAAACACAATAAATATAACCATTAGTGCGGAACAAATAGCCTAGAACTTCACTACGTCTCATGAATCACATTGCCAGTTTAAAACTATTATAGACCTCCATGCAGTACTTTAACTGGCCCTTTAATGCAGTGGATGAATGACGTTTGGATAAAATGACGCTGTTACAGAGGCATAGATAGTAAATGTTAAAAGTACCGTGCTCTAAATTACCGGATGCAACTCCTCATTTTGTGAAAAAAAGCACATTTGTATAACCAACATTTGCCTTCTGTCTTTTGTAGAAATACACAGCCTACATACATACAATACTCTTAATTTTAGCATTACAAAAAGGTTGTGGAACTTATTTTATATCATATAGCATATGCGTTAAACGTCATTTGACAATTAATACAATTGTTAAAAACAACAAAAATAATTTACAAACCCCACTGTCATTTATTAAATATGAACAGCCATCCCTAGAACCAAACAAAAGACAATCATTTACAAAACAAAATGAAGTTAAATCAAAAAGGCTATTAGAAAAAAAAAGATATACCAAAATAAACTGTTTTCTGTTTAAACATCTAAGTTTTCATCATGTTACCAAAACAAAGGAAGGAAAGGAGGATAACACGGTGTCTGAGTACGGTGAAGATTGAACCTTATAATGTGGGCTATACTTCTATGAACAAACACACACAACACACACATATACAGATAAGAAATGTTTTCGATAAAATTGGGACACGAAGTGGTGATGGGGAGGGCAATTGTTTTTAACAAGTAAATTCCAGAAATAATCCAAATAACATTTTCACCTCAGAGAGAGAGAGAGAGAGAGAGAGAGAGAGAGAGAGAGAGAGAGAGAGAGAGAGAGAGAGAGAGAGAGAGAGAGAGAGAGAGAGAGAGAGAGAGAGAGAGAGAGAGAGAGAGAGAGAGAGAGAGAGAGAGAGAAATGCTGTTTAGATTAGGAAAATGTTCTTCCCACTGATATTATTCTATGAAGAACGTCCATTAATCTTTAGGAAACCCAAAAAAAAAAAAATTTCTTGGATCACTGTGAAAACCTTTATTTTCGATTCTTCAACCTTTATTCTTAAGTGATAATAATAATACAGATTTTTTTACTTAATTTTAAATTATAAATCGTTTAGATTGCGTTGGTAATTTCACATATTGCTAATTGTAACAAACACCTTGAAAATTAAACTGTTAAGGGATAGGTACATATTTTAAATAATTGTATTTTTACTTTACAAATAGGAAAATATCGTATCCAAACTAAATTTGATACAAAATCATGCGGATACAACACAACACGATTTATATAATAGCCTACACCAGGGAAATAATATTAGCCTAACTGTAAATTAGTCGTGCAACCATGAATAATGCTCATCTCTCTGGATCACACACTGACCAAATTACTTTTAATAAGCCAAATTCTGTTCATTTAAAACGGAATTGTTTTTATTTATTTATTTATTTTTTTACTGAATTGGTAAGTATTGTAGGTTATTTGATACACTCTAACATTTTAAATAAATTCTGATCAGATGTTTTATCACAACAAAACAAAAAATAAAAATAAAGCAGACTCGCTATAGTTATTTTTAGTTAAAGGTTCAGAGAAACGGACTGTTATGGCACAGTTCAGTTCACTTCTTAAATTCAAGTAAGCTTCACTACAGCCAGCATTCATGAAAAAAAGGTTAAACTATAGGTTAAGCTAAAGAAAAATGTGTATACTGGTTACGTGTGAACTTTAGAGCTTATGCAACTGTTGGACTAACGGGAACGGGAATTGCGCGCGATTAAAATTAATATTTTTGTTAAATGTTGAGCTATTAAACGAATGCTCAAATAAATACACCAACTTCAGAAGTTTTGATGAAACAAGAACTTTGCCTCACTCCTTCACTTTTTCTGCCCCCATGTGGTTCTCACCGGACGCTCACGTGCCATAAAGTTCTCAGGAGCCCAAGAGGACACGAGAGAAAGCACCACAAAATATTTTTAAAAATAGTGTAAAAAAGAATTAAAGGACGTTTAAACATTGAAGCAACAGTAAGAATTAGTATATCTCCTACTAGTCGCAACATTATTTAACAATAACAAAAAAGTAGCCTAACTCAACTACGTAGTAAACATGAACTTTATTTGGAAAGTTCTGCGTAATTTGGTTAATCAGGAGTACGAGTCACATGAGGTGGCGAAAAGCTCCTCGTATGCAGGTGGAGAGGAGGCGCTGTCTGCTGCACCCGCTTTCCCCTCTTCATCCGAGACGCTCGCATTCCTGCAACGAAACCAGCAGATGTCAAATAATGCACATTTACAAACCCTTGGTCATTTGTGTAAAAATACCGTAACGTGCCAACTTCTTTATTTGATTAAGTCTACGCTCTTTGTGACTATTTTAGCTCAATGATGGCATCCTTTAAAATCCCAAAGACTGGTTTGTGTGGTAATTTTGTTTGGAATTGAGTCTTTTGCGTTTCAAAAAGATTAAAATAATCACCTGCTTTAAATAAATGAATCAGTTTAGAAACCTACAAATTATCTTTTAAAATGAATGTGCTAAATAAAACGAAAAGTTTTTTAGTGATCCATAAAAGAATCTTATTTGGTTTATAATATCTTAGAATGAGATAAAAATTATTTTTCAATGTGTGTGATGACATTTATAATCTAAACTAAAAAAATTTTGTATGTAAAAATAGCCTTAATAACCTAAAAGCCTATTAGCTTATAAATAGCCTAAATAAATAATTACTCTTAAATTTAATCGTGCAAACGATGTAAATTAATGCCCGCTTTTTAGTCCTGGAAGAATCGTAATATTATATTATTTAATTTATTAAAATGTACTCATTTAGTCACCTAAAAAAACATCCCAAATTTAATATGGATATCCATAATCGCAAATCGAATTATAATGATTTTTTGTTATATACTTTTCCCCCTTTTTACAATTATTATACAATCAACAAAGGAATAAGAACCAATGCAATCTCATCAGCTTCGTGGTCATGTAAAGTAATTTAAACTAGATTGCAATAGCTTAAACTAAGTTCAGTTATATTCATTTCTACATGTTTTAATTCAAGCATGTTTACTATGTTTAATACAAATTCTTGCTCGAGCAATGATGATTTATATTTAAATTATTACTTAATTATTTATTATAAGCTTTGAACATTGAGTTTATACATTGCACATAATTTAAACAGTTCTCACAAAAGTTTTTTTGTTCTGTCCTATTTAGAAACTACAGTGGATAGTTTATGTTTTGTTTACTGTTTGCCATAATAAACCTATCACTCTGACATAACCAAAAAGTGAGGAGTTAAAGAAATCAATTAATAAAAAAAAAATCTCATTTGTTTCTTATTTGTAGACTCTATGGTTCTTATCATGTAAATGAAAGTAATACATACTACCATGAATATCATACCTGTTTCCCCTTTGTACGGTGGGGTTGTTATGTTCACCAGAAATAAAGCCAGCGTTGTCCATCGGAAACACACTGTAATACTGTGGTGGTCCGCTCACTGTGACTGCTAATGGCTGGTGACTGGAGTGCAAACCATTAACATTGCCTAGACCATGGTCTGGTTCTACAGAAGCATATGGTGGCGGGATGTACTGGACCACTGTACCCCTGTGGAAGGTAATGGGCTGACTGAGTCTAGTGAAGACAAACGAAGGCCCTGAAAGCGGTGGCAAAGTATCCACTTCAGGTGTTATCTCCTCCTCAATCTGCTTGCAGCTCAGGCAAGACAGCATTCGAAACTTGCAGATGCTTATGAGCACAAATGTTCCTCCTACTGACAGAAGAATGGGTCCCAGAAGCTGTGTCCATTCATAGCCATTGCTGCCATTGTTTTTTGCCCACCCCATAGCTGTAAAAGTCATGCCAACCATGCCCAAGAAGACCCCGGAGAACAGTAGCGTGGCACCAGCTTTGTCTCCATCTGATACCTGACTGTCTGAAGAGCTCAAGGCCTCGCTGGGAACCAAAGAGACAATGTTCACGGGGACATCACTGGGACTCTGGTTGCTGCTCGAGTTGGTATTACTAATATCAGCAGGTATTGCATCACTTGGTCCAGCTGGAGGGTTTGTCCCTTGATTCCTTCCTTCTTGAATGCTTTTCCAAATATCACAAATCCCGTTATGTCTCATCTGGCTGTTTTTGCTGCAGGATTTACACACTTGTCTGACAAAGATGCACTCATCTGTGCCTGGAGAATCTTTGAAGATCATAGTTTAAGTATCTTGGACACTAGTTCAGAAGCTTAGTTAATGCGTAACAGATTGTTATGGTTACAGTAACCTGAAGTCACTGTCTGATTATGAGAACACTGAAATGTGAAATCTTTGTCTCGCTTGACAGGAAACATTATACAGGCAACTGGCATGTTCAAAGAATTATTCACCATTTTATTATATTATTTTTTTTATTTATCTAATTTATTTATTTTATTTACATAAAAAAATATAATGTTTGCTGTTTATTCAAACTACTTATATATTTGTGCAACTACTTATATAAAAGGAGCTGAAATACCACAGTTTTTGGGGACAACTTGATTGTCTTATGTTCAATCTACACTGTAAAACCCAAAAGTTAAGGTAACTTAAACCATTTGAGGAAACCAATTGCAACAAACCATTTAAGTTCAAAGACTAATCCTATGTGTACTGTGAACTTAACCCATTTGAGTAAACAAACCAATATGAGCACAGTAAACCCCGATAAATGAAAAAAACTCAAACCAACCGCATACTGTAAAACCCAATAAGGCAACTCAAACTGTTTGAGGAAACCGATTGCTACAAACCATTTGAGTTAAAAAAATTAATCTATGTGAGTGCTGTAATCTTACTCCATTTAAGTTGAAGTAATGAGGTATTTAATTAACTCATTACCTTCAACACTGAGTTCAAACCTTGTTTCAAATGAGTAGAATTAACTTTCAGTCAATTTTGAGCAACTACACTAATTTCATTTGATAAAGTTGACTGTTGGGTTTTACAGTGCACTTAAATTTGGAAATAAAATAATAAGTAAACAATTCCTTTATGTTGTCCCAACAACATGTTTTTTTCTTTTGCAGTGTATATTTATTTAAACTCAAAAACTTTTTTATTTACTTTTTTTTTCTATTTACTTCACTCAAACTAGGATCTGAAGTTGAAAACTAATACAATATTTATAGGATATTGACTCAAATGTTAACCATATACCGTTAAAGTCAACAGGCTCCAAAACAACACTCGAACTACAGAGTTCACATCGAGACACATCATTTAATAATTAAAAATTCTTCATTTGTTTTGTTCCCCAGAAAGAAGTCAATGAACACCAGTTTTCTGACTTTGTTTAACTTTCCCATTAATGTATCACCAAAATCAAAAAAGAAAGTTTCCAAAATATGTTATTTTTGATTACAGCATAAGCACTATGGATAAAATGGATTACAAATATTTTGAGCATTCCCTTCAGTTATTTTGTTAACTTCACAACTACATCAATTAACTCTTAGAGGTGTCCACTTTTAGAGTTGGCAAAGCTACTTAAAGTCAGCAGAATGTCTTTTAGAGAAACAACCCAGCAAGCATTTTTTGTTTTCAAAAGATGTCCAAAAGATGTCTAATAGATATCTAAACAGTTGTCTTGGGTGAAACAAGGCTAAATTTGGGCTGTCAGTGAAAATCAAATAGACGTCTAAGAATAGATGAAAACTAAACTTGTCATCAATTAAACAAAAATAAATGAGTACACATATAAAGTCTGTCTAATCTGTCTATTTGACAACTAGTCTGGTTTTGGGCTATTTTAGATGTCTATTTTAACTGACAGCCCAAGTTTAGCTTTGTTTTAGCAAAGCTGTCTACGCTTAGTCATCTATTAAACACGAACCTGTTTGTTGGGAAATAAATAATTTTAGGAGATATTAACAGGGGGTCTACTAATTCCCTGATTGCTGTTTATTGAATTGCGATTGCAAAGTTACTTTTCAGAATGTCTGAAGGAGATCAAAGTTAATGTTATATAATTATTTTGGAAAACGCCTTCAAAAGCTTCTTCAAACACAAGGGAATCACATGGCAACATTGCATTAAGTTTCCATAAATGAGTTTCAACAGAGACAAAGAGAAAAAAAGGAGATAAAAAGCTTTGTTTCAGACGGTTATCAAAACAGTTCCGCATCACTTTAACATTTTCAAAGCCCTCTCTGGAGATCTAATGGATTTGTTTAGCAAAACAGTGTTTCATCCAGAGCACTGCCTGACTTAGCAAATTTCAACTGACTTAACTTTGATGATGCATTTTCCCCACAGTAAACAGCTCACTGTGGTATTTGGGTAATGTTTTAACTGTTGGGAAATTACAACAAATAAAACACATTAAAGGTCCCATGAAATTAAAATAAAGTTTTTTAGATGTCAGTATCAGTATTGTTAGTTTTTAAAAAACAGTGCTCTGCATAATTGATTACACCCCATTTTGAAAATGAATATTTGACATTTGTATCTATTTCTCAGTGAATATAGGCAATGTTTTTGGGGCATTTAAACAAAACTGATTTATTAAACAAATATATTTATTAAAATCATAAAACATATTTAGAAAATTGACAGATAATACAATTAAATTCAAGCAAAATATTGCAAAACAGTTACAACCTACAAAATTTTAACTAAACTTTTCAATTTTTTGTTTCTCTTGATTTTTCCTCTTTTTTAAATTTGTATTTAATACTATAACATAAAACTTGTGTAGGGTGTACAACTTTTTGGACTGTTATCGTAAGTTATTTTGTTAGACAAGCTCCAGATTTGGCTTCAGTACTGTCTAATCTAAAGTATATGCACAAATATAATATTGTATAGCTTCCTATTAAAAATATGAATTTAAAAGACAGATTTGTGAAGGGTGTACTTATATGCTGAGCACTGTATCTATAAGTTAGCATGCTCCAAAACAGTGACAAAATTCTAATTTAGAAGATACAAAACTGATATAAACATGAAAAGCTTGTAGCTCCACCCAAATGGATCAACGATTTTATTCACGTCACCTTATACTTCAGTTTCCCATCAAATCTTAACCAATCAAATGCACTCCAGTATCTGACATGCCCCACCCCCATCAAGACAAGTTAAATCAGTGATAAAAACTAGATGCTATTGGCTGTTTTTTTCTCTTTTTTTTTAAGAGAAGGAGCTACACTACCCACCCTCTCTTCGTGAACATTGAATAAAAATGCATATTTTAAAGCACTTTTAAATATGAATGGTGCCGATCAGTCTTCTGATGTGAGAGGATGCATTTTTTCATAAATTTAAATGCTGTTTATATGTTTGCTTTACTCACAAAATGAATTGTAAATTCCAAATCGTATTGTAGCCTTCGACTTTCAGAGTACTTATTACATGTTGGGTAAAGGAGTGTATAAAGGACCAAATTTGTGAAAATCTTTCAAATTTATTATGATCACATGAGACGGTAAAAGATATTTGATATATGATATATTTTATATGATTTTGAACACACACTATTATTCAGCTAGATTTTCAAATGCAATCACTTAATCTCCATTATGCTTTTTAGAAGAATGGATTGTGAGCATCATGCTAAATTCCTTCAACTCTTCACAGAGGTCAAGCAGCATGTCAGAACTGTCCCGTACTAAAGACTTTGTTTTAATTCCTTTCCCAAAGCTTGAGGAGACACCTGAGAGACATTTAGGAAGGGAATAGATTCCAGCACAAGAATGTTTAAAACCAGCCTGGATTTTGGGTCTGACACACTCTTTCAATTAAGCTGAGTCCAAATATTTATGAGGAGAACATTTCCTCTTTCTTTCTCTCTCTCTCTCTCTTCGTGATTGTGATGTGTGTAGTAAGCATGTGAATAACAAATGTGTGCGCTGGTAAATGTGTGTGCAATACTGGTATGCTTAGATGAGAGAGCTAGGCATTTGTAAAGCTTAAATACTGCCATTGGGAATGCTTCGGACAACCGAAATCTTCTCCTTTGATTTTCACTAGCCACTAGTTATTTGCATTGGACGCAGTGGCAAAACAAAGGCAGAGAATTTCTTCATATGCACTGAATTAATTATTAGTAGAGGCCACAATGTCTCAATATTGTACAAATATTAACAAGCCCTAGTCACTCATTGATTCGTTTGACTCTAAATGATTAGCCACCAAATTAAGTTCTGGACTGTAATATTGTTCTAATTTACCTCATCTTCCCTCTTCTTTCCAGCGGTTCATACGCAGCGCAATAAGCTGACGGCACGCTAGGCTGCATGAGCATCTGTGTCCTCCAATGGAAATGCAGCCTGCAATCACAAGAGGGGGTTTAATGGGTTTCCATTGCTCACACTCTCTCTATTCCTCCTTTCTCTCACTCTCTTTTTGACCACCCCTCAGTGTGTTAGTCTGACAGTCACGTACATTCACCACAGCCAATCAGCTGAGTGCTACTCCACCCATGTTTTCACTAGCATTATTTGGTTTAGCTTCATTCATTAATTTGCTCATTCAAAAAAACATTACAGTACACACAGCTAGATTTATTTAATGAAAAGACTATAAGAATAGTTTTGTGAAATAGATTTTAAAGTTTAAATTTATTTTAATATTGTAAAATCTTTTATATTCCTTTTATTAAAAAGCTGGTTTTCTCAATTTTTTTTAATTACTCAAGCCTTCAGTGTTGCAAGATCCTTCAGAATTCATTAGAATCTGCTCAGTTGTTGCTAAAGAGACCTGAAGATGAACAGTAGAAACAATGTTATCTAATGAATAGTCTACGCTACAGTATATGTATCGTTTCAGCATTGATGTCAAAATGTGTGAGTTTGCAATAGTCACATCGCAGGCATCTACACTGTAGTTGGGACAATAGTTGACCAAATATTACAGTTACAACATAGTGAAGTAATTTCAAAGTTTGACTTGAGAGTGAAAATGTATTTTTGTATGTGTTTTTAAATCTGAATATAAGAATTTGAAGCAAACTTGAAGCCTTTTTGGCACAATAAATGAAATGTTTGTAGCTTAAAGATGAATGGAACATTCATAATTTAATAATTTTTTAATTTCTGCTTCTGACTACCCAGAAAATAATGAATTATTATTTATTTGCATCTTTTGTCTATTGTATTAACCTATGTTTGTCATTTTTTAAATGAAATTTTATGTAGATATGCTCCACTACAGAATCATCTCAATCGATCTAAAATTCTAAATTCTTTACA